AGCTATTTTTATCATAGACAATTCTGAATTAGAAAACAATTTAACTAAAAATGTAGACACTGATTTGGGTAGCAAGAGGTGGAACAAGTGGGCACAGGCAAATGAACTATCTTATCTCCTTTTCCCCAACTTCCAAAAAATAAAATATATCATTAATTGTTAGAATCTAAACTAGTAGTTGGGGAAAAGGAGATGACCTACTTCATTCTAAGCAACTAAGTGATAACCAGTTCTAGAGAATACAAAAAAAAAACCTAAATGAAATATGATTTCACCAACTTTTTTCTTCTAGAATTTACATACAGTATACACAAACATTTTCCAGTGTGAATACTGAACTTAATTTCCCAACTAATACAGCAGACTTCAATCATTAGATATTTAATAAAAATTGAATTTGTCAAAATACATTTAAAATATCACTTGATGTAATACTGTCAAAATGACATTATTAAACTTTCAACTTGGTGACAGTATATAATCTTGAGGGAATAATACTTAACACAAGACACATTCAGTTTTTCCATTCCCAATCTACCCTAGTAGAATTAGTAAAATCTGTTTTACTGGTTTCTGACCATCCACAAGTCTTTCTGTAAGTAAACATTTCGTTAATGTCAAAAGAAGTCTGATTATTAAATAATGGACAATTAGTATTTATGTTTCTAATGTCCCAAATTAGCATTTTTATTTATTTAAATCTAAAATGGAAAATGAGTGTCTGACATATGCGTAATTGCCTACAGGTGTAAGTTTCAAACTTAATGCATTATCAACTTCCACTTAATGATTATCACTGTAATGAATATAAAGCAACTTACTACAGTCATGGCCATAATTTAAAACTCAGGCAAAATTATTTCCTTATACCCTCTCAAAAATTAAATGTTAAGATTATACGTTTCTTTTGTTATTGTTGTTACTGTTACTAAAAGAAGGGGGAATTTCTGGCCTAAATATTTTTAACGGGAAAAATTTGCTAGTTTTATTAAGAGGCAAGAGCAGTACATGTCAGAAGAGGCTTTTTCCCCTTATGGTAAGTATAAGAGAGATATAAATAAAAGGAAAATCAAAACTACTCATTAGAATATATCATTCAAACTAAATGCGTGACAAATGTAGTGTGCTTATTCAAGTAGTTTCTAGTCAGCACAGAAGGGTTGTCAATGTGTGTACACACAGCTCTAAGTTTGGAGAATAGAGCAAAGTACTTTATAACAGGAGAAAAACAACATATATGCTGTACACTTATTTCTTTAAAAAATATTTTAATAAAACAAAAACTATTGAGGCAACCAGGCAGCTGCATTTATGATCTTAAGGTTTAAACTAAATATATTAGACTAAACTTTTTTTAAAAATTCAAAATAAATACATGAAAACACTGATTGGAATCAATCAGTTCAATAATGTATATATAATTATTGAAAGAAAATAAATCTTTGCAGTGAAACATGTCAATTACTATTAAATTTTTTTTTTATTAGTAACATTTTTATCCTGGTAATCCCTAAATCAAAATAAAGAAAATCTATGAACTCTATGGGAAATTAAGTACCTGGACATCTGGAAGATGAACACTGTCAGGAAAGTATAAAACTGAATTATCAATTTAAAAATGTAATAGTGTCTCTTTAAAAGTAAGAAAAAAATGAAAAAAAAAAAGTAAGAAAAAAGAAATTTAAAATATGCTTAAGATAATCGTTATATATTCAGGAAAACACAATATATTACTTTTTCCATTTTATAAGGTAAAACGGAGAACCAGGGTCTCATCAAAGACTAAAATAGCTTATCTGAGGACATTAATTATTCCCTATACAAACTCTTCTACAAAGATTCTTTACTTTGTAAACATACTCAGTTATACCCTCCCAGACATTACCTTTTCTCTGTCTTTTCATTTGTAATGAAGAGCTTACTGAAAGAGTCATCTACATAACAATGTCTCTTCTTTAAAAAAAAAATCTTTCTCCTTCAACCACTACTATCTGGCTTCTGCCTTCACATAATAACTGCAGTGCCAAAGCACTGCCAAATTCAAGAAAATTTCTCTGCCCTTTTCATATCTGACAGCCTTACATCGCAATGCACTTACTGACCAGTTCCTCGCAGAGCTTTACTTTTCCTGTGACTTTGGATGCAGCATTGTTTCTGCCCTATTTCCCAGCTCACTCTTTTTCTGTCTCCTCAGCCAGGTCCTTTTTCTCTGCTTGCTCTCTGTAGTGTAGACTTTCCTCTCTTCACTTAATCCTCTCTTCCTAGACCATTTTATCCATCCTCACCATTTCAACAGTTATCTGTAAATTGACAATTCCTATTTTTATCTCCACCTCAGACATCTCTGGTGACTTCCAGAAACTATGATATTTCTCCATATGATGTCCAAAGGTAATTCAGACTAAACATATCAAGAAAATCTTATGTATCTTTTTTCCCCTGTAACTGGCAGTTTCTCCTGAAATCCCTATCTTAGTTGACAGTATTACTATCTATTGCCCCATCGAGACACCTGGGTTATCATTCTCTCGTTTTTTAAAAACTAATCTTTCTCAAAGTCCCATGAATTCTAGCCCTTAAATATTAAACAAACAAACAAACAAATAGGTCATGTGACCTTTTACATGGTCTTGCCACCTTCAACTTTACTCCCTTCCAATCAACCATCTATAAAGCTGCCAAAATGATCCAACACATAAATCTGGTCATGTTTCTCCCATGCTAGAATAATTTCTAGGGCATCTCACTGCTTAAACAATTGTTTTATTCACTCATTCAAAAAACATCTACTGTTTAATGACAACAGATATGGTGTTAGGCATTGAATATACTACAGTGAATGAAAACATTCAGAGAATACAGAGAAAGACAGGTATTAAACAATCCCTAAAATAAAGGTATGATTATAAATTCTGACAAATGTGATGAAGGACAGCAGGTCACAAAGAGATAAAGAGAGGAGAACTACTTCAGATTAGAACGTCACACTACTTTTGGAAAAGTAGCATCTAAGTGAGTTTTGATGAGTAGAAGTTGCTGAAGACAAAAACATTTTGGTAGAGACAATAGCATTCACAAGAGATTTAAGAGGGAAATGAGCTTAGTGTTAGAAAAACGAAATAAGGCCGAATTGTCAAAACTTAGTGAGTGAGAGAAAGGGCCCGGTGTGTATGGCTCTGCAAGCCAAGGTATGGATTTAGGTTGCCTTAAGGGCAAACAGGCTGTTTAAAAGTTTTATGCAAGTGAATAATAATATGCTTAGATTTAAATTTTTAAAAGTTTACTCTGCCTGGTGATAAGAGAACAGATACAGCCTGAAAGGATGTGAGGAGACCAGTTAAGAGGTTACTGTATTAGTCAAGGTGAGAAAGACAGTAGTGGGAAGTTTCAGTTCACTTTTATAGTAGAGGTTATCTCTAGGTGATAAAACCCTGTCATGTAGAAGTCCCCAGTACATTAAAAGATGTACCGCTAAACAAAAAGGCATGTAAAACCTCAGAACTTAATTCATTTGGATATGCTGTCATTTGAACATTTCTGCTCAGAGAACTTCCTACCAAGTTACACTGTTGATGGTCTATCATCATGCAGCTTCTGCCAAGCCTACTCAGTATCTGACCTTTTATATAACATCTCCACTCATAACTACAAAGCAAATATGCTTTACATGGCCCAAAAAATACTCCTGATTTCTGCCCCCGAACTAGTTTACCCTAGTAAATGGAATCGTTTACCCAGGCATTGATGGCAAAAATCTGGGAGCTATCTTTTATTCTCATTTCTTTCTCTGGGAGCTATCTTTTATTCTCATTTCTTTCTGTCATATGTCATAACATATATAAATTCATTACCAATGTAAATATAATATTCAACATAATTCTATGGAAATTTTTCTGTAAGATTAAATAAAATATGAATGTGGCTACAAACTCTTCAGTAGTATTTACATTCATATAGACTTACCAAAAAAAAAGATTATTTGATTAGAGAGCAGTTCTAAACAGTAGTACAATATATTATATATAATAATTGTGTTTTACACTTTAATCATTCTTTACTGTTAATACCTCTACAATAAATGTATAAAGATAAAACATGCATAATTTCTTAGTTCTCAAATTCACTTATGAATTCATTCATTTTCAAGAACAGAAAAACCTATAGCAAATATTTGCCATCTGAGGTCTATAAAGAATAATTTAAGATCAGATGTACAGAAGGAGTTTTTAAATTTGTTTCAAAATTAGTTTCTGAATAATTCTCCAAGAAGACAGTTAAAATTAGATCTATTTCACACTAAATAGGTACTTAAGCAATATTTCATTTCCCCAATGACAAATGAGTCACCCTACATATGTAAACTTTGTCAACTAAAGCTTATGGCTTTCGGGCTAAGTTACATTTTTGAAAAATATTTGTAAAATCTACTTCATCAACCTCTGCTTAAGGCTCCAAAGTAGACTGTACACCTCTCCTACTTCAGAAGGCAAGTGGAAGTGGAAGTTATTTTCCCTTCTGATTGGTGACTTTGGAGCTTATCTCTGCATTGACAATCGTATTTCTTAAAGCTACCTAGAGTTCAACCATCAGATAAGTGAGACATAAGACCAAGTATTATGACAGCAATGTAGTAATGCAGAACATTTTTATGCTCAAATAACTTTTTCAAAAGTAGCCACCAGGTAATATGCTAACCTCACACCTAAGCTCTACACACAATTTTATGACAGCTAGAATTTGTAAAAAGGGATCTTTTTTATATACATATAATACTGTTATAGGGAGAGATTTCAAATAAATTAGCTTACACAGGAAATAATTTGTATGGTCCAAGGAGGCTCTTTGGGCATAATACCACCTAAGATGATTTAGCTCACAAAATACTGACTATTTAGACCATAATCACAATGAAATGCTATGAAAAAGTGAGAGAGAGCGTGGTTTATGCATTGCAATAAACTATGGATGGATGGGCATAGCGCATCTCCTGTTGCACGCACCCTGTTGCTCGTCAAGTGACATGGATCCAAGCTGTTTGTTAACCACAGAAGAAGGAGAATCTGAAACAAAAATGAGATTTTAACTTAAAAGTAAGCAGCAGAAAACTGCACAGCAATGTCATGATCATCTCTAAGCTTAAGAAACAAATGTATAATGGTGGGGAATAGAAGTTAAGTACTGTGGTGTATTTCCCAAGCAGTGAGTAAGCAAGGCCATGTGCTTAAGATATGTTATTCCAGGCAAGCATTTAGCAACTTTGAGAATGAGTTGAGAAAATGTTCCATGCATATACTTTTTATCAAATTCATTTAGCACAGGCACAAAGTGCAAGGTAGATAAAACAGAAACAGAGTATCTCCCTCACCAAAAGAAAGACTCCTTGTCTTTCTCAAACCCTCTTTCCAGCTCCTTAAGATGGCTTTATTTTGGATTGGAGGATTCAAAGCATGAAATGAGATGCTGACTACACTTAGCTAGATGTTATCTTGAGTTGAAAAAGGAACTCAAAGACATAAGACAAGGAAAATGGTTTATGAGAAATATTTAATGACGTAATTACCATTATAGAAACATAGTAACTTTTAAAAACTCTATGGTATGTGGTACATATTAAAACTGTACTGTGAAGCCTTTGGTTTCTTTAGGTGTATGGTGAGAAAAGGAAAAGAAAGGCAAAGAAAAGGCTTATGGTTTGGGCTTCATGCTTTCTACCTTGGCTTCAAACAGAATGTTTTATTTTTACCCTTTGGATGCACTGAGTTTCTATGTAAAAGAATTTGTTTTATAAATAAATGGGTTCTACTGTTTGAAAAACACTCGTATAAAGTAAGGCAGCATGATGAAATGGAAAATGCACCAGTCTAGAATTAGTCAGTGTTGATTCCAACTTTGGTTTTGACAATAAATTAACTGTGTGACAGAGGACAAGTCACAAATATTTTTAGGTCTAACACGCTCCTTTACGAGAGATCTGGTAACTAAGAAAGGCATGAGGGAACAGAAGGAGGTAGCTACTATTACTGGCTTGGGTTCCAGTGTCCTAGCAGAGCTACAGGAAAAGAGAAAATGTGGATAGCAAGCATACAAAGCTCGCCACTAAATGTAAGAATAATTCCTAGTTTCTAACAACCTATGCTCTGCTGCTGCTGCGAAGTCACTTTAGTCGTGTTCGACTCTGTGCGACCCCATAGACGGCAGTCCACCAGGCTCCTCCGTTGCTGGGATTCTCCAGTCAAGGACACTGGAGTGGGTTGCCATTTCCTTCTCCAATGCATGAAAGTGAAAAGTGAAAGTGAAAGTGAAGTCGTGTCCAACTCTTAGCGACCCCATGGACTGCAGCCTAACAGGCTCCTCTGCACATGGGATTCTCCAGGCAAGAGTACTGGAGTGGGTTGCCATTGCCTTCTCCGAGCCTATGCTCTAGTTCTTAGCAAATGTTGTTCATAAAAACTCTGCACTTCTGACTGATCAATAGCTATTTATAATGACACATTATTCTCCCAACGGTAAGTATTTTGATTTATGAGTGACCATAACTCAATAGCTAAGTTTTCTAATATATCCTTGATTCTTAGCAATTTTATACCACTTGACTGCTTGTACACTTAAAACTCTGAATCCCGCTACCAGGACTACTTATATTAATTTCAAATTGTCTGCCTTCTGAGGTAACCAGTTTGGTCATAAATTTTTACACTACTAGATTTTCATAAAGCATGATCATTATTTAAATAATAGTATCCTTATCACTGCTTCATCAGAATATTCAGCTCAACAAATCTGTTGCTGCTGTGTGGTTGCTCAGTTGTGTCCGACTCTTTGCAACCCCATGGACTGCAGCCCGCCAGGCTCCTCTGCCCATGGGATTCTCCAGGCAAGAGTACTGGAGTGGGTTGCCACTGCCTTCTCCAGGGGGTCTTCCCGACCCAGGGATCAAGCCCGCATCTCCTGCAAAGGCAGGCATTCTTTACCTATGAGCCACCAGGGGAGCGCTGACATATTTGCACTAAACAAAAAAGAAAATGGGAAGATGGTAATTTAACTGGTTCCCTAATCTAGTCACACTATACGTTCTTTTATAAGACTTCTCAAATATCAGTTTCTGAGTTAGACACAATATTCCTGTTTATGTTCTTTCTGAAGAGCAGATGAGTCAATCTTTGGGAAAAAAACATAATTATATTTTTTAAGAAAAACAAAAAAATGTGAGTCAGTGAAATGAGTATTGGAAAATCTTCCTAGAAAGCCTCTTATGAAATATTTTTTATCCCTTTGGATCCATTATACATTCCATTATACTCTTCCTAAGAGCCTGAGAACAACTTTCCATGCAATCTTTTTTCAAATATTTAATTTTGTCACAAATATTATGGAATGCACAAATCTTAAGAAATAAAGTGCATCTTATGCAAGTTTTTAAATAAAACACACTGAGAAAGGATCAAAATGCTGTCATCTCAAAGAACTGTGCATTTTCAAACTCTTGAAGTATTTAATTAATGAAGCTTAGATTAAGGCAGAAAGATAATGTTAAATTAAAAGGTCTTCCTTCTTGGTTTTACAGTCTGTCCAGATATTATGTATATCTGGGGAATAATCTTTCTTCACATGTTGAAGACCAATTTTTAAGAAGAAATCCTTCTTGATCATTGCTTCCATTCTATTTTTAATTTTGGGTATTATGCAACTGTTTTTGAAAGGATTACTATCCTGTTACATAAACATTTGAAGTAAAATGTTTCTATATCACTAGATATTCATAAATATAATACCTATAACTTCTAATTTACAGAAATACTTCCAAATATTAACATAATAATCATCAGAATATCTAATATTTAAAAAAAGTAAGTATTATTTCAATGGTTTTTGCTTCAATGTTTGCATACTCTACTCCAATTCTCTGTGAAATATCTTCTAGAAAGCACTATCACAAAATAAAAATTGACTATATGGTCCCATGATAATTTATTACAAAATGCAGTACAGTTGGTCAGCTTATTGCCAGTCTCTTAAATTATTATTATTTTTAAAGTAGAGATAAACTTTAAGCAAAAACTCCTTCAGTCTAAGCCAAGGTGTCTCATGCCTAATTACTATATATCTCCAAATATTTCATGTTCTAGTTTTGAGAAAATTCTTTAGCCCCTTGACATTCAAACTTTCTTAACTGTAGGAAAAAATAAAGAATTATAATTTAAATAACAAAGACTCTAGTCAGACTCCCTGGGTTCAAATCTGGCTTTTCTACTCAGTAATACTGTAATCATGGGCAAGTTATTTAACATCTCTAAGTCTCAGTTTCTCCATCTGTAGAATAGGGACAATTATGATATCTACCACATACTGTTCTCGTGAGAATTTAATGAGATAATCTATGTGAGCTACTTCAATAGCACATAGGAAAGGGTCAATTAATGTTATTACTTGCTTGTTTTTCTCAAACATAGTGTTGAATGAAAACCATAGAGCACAGTCCCACATTTAAAGTTCTAAGTGACCCATCACTGTGTTGCTTAGGACCCTATCATTTAAAGTTGTTAAAAAGTACTTGCAGAACTAAGTCAACATCACATTTGATTTATAAATGCTCATGTTATAAACACTAAAAACCCGGGTCAAATGCATCCACTTGAGAAGTGCTACCTGTAATTAACATCATGGACACTGTGGGCAACTGGATGTTGTACAGAAGACTATTTTCACAGGATTGGGTAAATGCTGATTTTTTCCAATATGGCTCAGTTTTGAAAAGCCCTTTAAAATATTCACCAATGTTTTATACCCTTTACAGGGTATAAAAATTATTTTTTTCTTTTCCAATTGGCAAAACCGTGCCATAAAGTGAAAAAACAGTTCCTACCTGACACCCTCTCTAGGCTGGCTCCATGCTCCAGTGGGGCTCTGTGGTGGTTGGGCCAGTACCAGCAGACTCCACAGGGTGTTGTCACTCTGAGCAGGAGCCAGCAACCCATGACTTCAGGGGACCTGAAATGGAAAAAAAGAGTTGGGTTTAAAATCAGCCATATGTTGAATGCCTCTGCCACAGCTGTTTATGGCATTCATCTGAAAAACATACATACAGCTCATTCAAAACCCTGAATACTATCAATTTTCATGGTCGTAATATGAGGATATCTTTAGGTATTTATAGTAAGTTAAAGCTACTATAATTAAGATAGTCCAATATTATGTGTACTTTTCTATTTAGGAGTATAAAAACTTTATACAGTATTCTCTATCCCATCCTTATGCCACCCTAACTAAATAAATCAATAGCTGGGAAACTGAGGCATAAAGGAACCAAATGACCTGCCCAAGGTCGTTTTTCATAAGGCCAGGAATAAGAACTCAGCCAGTCTAACACCTAGACAGTGATCTGATGAAAGTAAATTCATCTCTTTATGATTAAAAAAAAAAATCACTGAAAGATTAGAAACGAGTTGTGATGTATTTCCTAAAAGTCTAAAAAAAGTGCACTTTTTAAAAACTAAAAATGTGAATATTTTATAGAAATATATACTAATTTTGAAAAATAAAATATTACAAATTAGCTATAATTATCATTTACAGGTGTCAAAAATTGTTTTAGAGCAGTGGTTTTTCTTCTGAGAGCAGAGGTGGCTTGGGTGTGGCAAGAGGGACGAGGAACTAGGCTGTCATTTCTTAACACTCTTCTTTTTGTTCAGTCACAACAGTGTGTCATTTATGTATTTTATATTAGAATTTCCCCATGAAATTCTAATTTCACAGCTGAAAAAATGGGAGGGGGAGAATTGTTTAAAATGTATATTAACATCTATCTTATACAGCTCATTTTAAATACTGCTTGGTGCCTTGGAGAATTGTTTAAAATGTATGTTACAATCTATCTTACACAGCTCATTTTACTACTGTTTGATGCCTTAGAATGTTTTAGTCTTCAATTGCCAAGAAATATTGGCATCAGACACGTTCTCATTTGATCCCATTAAAATGTAGACTCTATAAAACGGCTTGAGGGTTTGATGCCATTTTCCTACAGAAATTAGGTATTAAGTAGCTTCATCTAATATTTATCCTGTCACAAAATATTCTCATGAGTCCTGTACTTTGAAAAAAGAATAAAATATTTACCAGACAATGTAATCACTCAGAAATTCTGCATTTGTTAAAATTTCTTGGTTTCCAAAATTACATTAATGCCTCCTTTGAATATCTTATACCTAAAAGACTTAAACAGGTGAGATGATGATAGAAATATACTTTACTGATAGTATCATCATTTGCTGACACTGTGAGGATATCAAGACATAATGGGAAAATGTTTTATGAGAACTGAGCATTAATCTATTGCTAAAAAGTTAAAATATAGAATGTTAATTTTCTGCTAACCATATTCATGATTTTAGTAGTGATATCTAGCATGAGTGAATGGATCAATTAATGCCCATAATATACACACACAAAATTGTATTCATACATTGTGAAATGTAGGAAAATGTTTTGTGAATTGTTGTTCAAATATAACCAATCTCCCTGCTGAATTTCATAAATTTAATTTCTACTCTGTATTTCTAAAATTTGGATGTTCCAAAATGAAGAATTTTGCATTAAGTCAACTCATCTTTCCTCCTTTTCAAGATTTACTAAATGAACAAGATATTCTTTGTAACAAACTAACAATACATTATTCAGCTGTTCTTAAAGTTTTTAGTTACCAAGCAGTGTTCCTGCCATGTGAAGAAAGAATAAGATAAAAGTAAGGCTAACAAATGAACCTAGGGCATGTTAGAGGTTAGATTACCAGTGGTCTTACATGCATGCTGTATCAGAAAGCATGCGGTATGGACGTATACAGCCTATCTCACGCTGTAGGGCAGAGCAGACACACACTGAGTAAGGGGCCTCTAACATTGGTCCATGTGGGCAGCCTCAGGGGCCCAAGGGAGTTGTTCAGTAACAACAAATAAGATTAACGTGTTTCTCAGCTGCAAAACTGGCAAGGTATCCGACTCAACACTGGCTTTGTAAAAATTACCACAAATGCACTGGTTATCAAACTAGGTATTATTTAACAAGAATGATGCTAAGAGTGGGGAAAACAGCATCTTATTTCACAAAAAACATATAACCACCCAAAAGCTTTCTGATTCTAAAAAGAACTGGTTTCAATTCAAATGAATGAACTAGATATAAAGACTCAGTGTCAATATTTTCCTAATGTCCACAATGTATATTTCTCTACCAATAATGTAGGCAGTTTTGTTTTATACTCAAATTCACTCTAATGTTTGGTTTGTTATCTGCTAAATTTCAGTATTTTAAAAATATTTATACATGTAGAGACTTCCTTCTTATTGTTTTATATGTTGCATATTTTTACTTTTAAAACCCCTGTGTTAAGCATGTGTGTATCCTCAGTCATGTCCCTCCCACTCTGTAACCCCATGGACTGTAGCCCACCAGCCTCCTCTGTTCATGAGATTTCCCAGGCGAGAATACTGGAGTGGGTTGCCATTTCCTTCTCCAGGGGATCTTCCTGACCCAGGGATCAAACCGAGGTCTTTGGCATTGGCAGGTGAGTTCTTTACCACTGAGCCAACAGGGAAGCCCTGTGCTATACAGCACAAAATCACAGCAAAATGTCTTAATGCTAAGTGTTACACCTGTAATCGAATCCAACTTTCTTATTAATGTATGGGGAAAGAGTGCTCTATGGTAAAAAAAATGAGAGAAAAACATCTTTGCCTCACTGATATTCTATTTATATAGTACCAAGTTAAAAATCAGGTCCATAATTTGTTACAAATATCACAGCTATATTGAAGTTATTTAAATCTATTTTATTGCACCATGGTATTATATAATATGCTTTTTTTACCACACCACTTAGTGCAAACAGATATTTATTTATAAAGAAGAGGTTATCCACTTCTAACAATATACAGATTAATTCCAAGTAATTTAGTCAGAGTTCTCAAAGTAATTAATTCCCAACTCATCACTCCTTAGAGTGGCAAAATAAAGTATGTCAAAGTAGTAAATCTCATTAGCATGACAGCACCTACTGTAGTACCTATAGTACAAGATGTATATTTATTATCTTTCTTGAAAGAATTAAGTTGACATTACTCTATGCTGTGTCTCTCACTAATTCTTTCAACAAATGTTTACTGAGCATCATGAGCTTTTTGGCTATTAAAAAAAAGTGAGCCACTAAAATACTCAATGAAAAAGAGAGTAGTATAGATTATTACTGTCTTATCAGAGTTTTATATATTAAGAACAGGAACATAAAACCAGAATATTTTTCCTGCCCTACATATGAGAAAGTTGAGTATGTGTAGGAGGACTATGAAAGCAAATATTGAAAATTTTCAAATGATTACAGAATTGGATGATTGGCCAAAATCTAGCATTACTATGTTTATGTGGTAATAGAAGTACTGGTTAACTCTCAAAGCAAAAAAAAAAAGAGGAGGTAGGAACCTTAAGCATAGATATCATTTCAAGATACAGGAAATTTCAATAGAAATATCAATGCAGGCTCCAAATTCACTAGATTATTAGATGATAGCTCATTAGCTGTAGAAGTAATAAATATTTGCCATTCTCTAAAATTACAAATAAAATAATAGATTATTTTATATTCTTCTTGCTAGCAAGTGCTATTGGCAATCTGTCCTTCTAGCCATGTGATGATAAATTTCACCATATACTAAAAATGAAGAGAACAGCTTCAAGCGCATCAGCTTTCTTTGAAAGGGGAAAAGAGAAGCATCTTATACACAGCAGCAGTGTTAAAAACAAACAAAAAAACTATACCAGCTGCTTAAGAACACTTGGTATTAATAACCTGAAGTCTGAGGGTCCTGTGAAGAGCCCTCAGGAGAAGACTGATCAGAGGTGGAAGGCTGTGGCTGGGGACGCGCAGCTAGCTCCTGCTGCCTCTGCTGCTCAGCCCTCTTAAGCCTCAGTTGTTGCAGGCGCTTACGGAGCAAAGCTATCTCAGGCCCCCTTAGAAATTCTGATACAGATAGGAAAACAAAGATGAAAAGATAGTAATGAAACAGAAAATAGTAAGAATACAATTACACTTTAAAGAGAGAAGGGTATAAATAAAACACATCTCACAGAAGAATGCTAAAAGCAAACTACTCATAAAAAGTCACTGATCATTAAATTATGATAAACTATACACACTTATATACCCAAATGCTTCTGTTTAACTGCGATGAATAAGACAGAGTGCTCTAAGAACATTTATGTAATTATACAGAGTGAAAGTAAAATCTTTCATAGTGAAACATTGAAAAGTAAACATTCCTTTGCTAATTGCATCTCCTTTTACAACAATTAGAAAATATCAGTTATCTCATTTAATCTATACACAAAAACTACTTTACAAATTTCAATCAGATAATAATTAAGATTACGAAAAAGTTACACATTTGGAAACAATTCTTGAAATTTATTAGTAGAGAGCCCTTTAAAAAGGTAAAAGCTACATATTTTTCAGCTAAAATGTTTCTTTTTATGTTAGAATTATCATTTACTTTTTCTTTTAAGATGAATAATATTTACATAATCTTTAACATTTTCTTATATTTCATCTGAAGCAGTGGCCATAGATAAAAAATAGTATAACATGAAACTGCAGAAAATGCTGAGTACCTAAGTAAGTATGAGGCATTGTTTTAGGTTCCTGGGATAAGTAAAAATTGAACAAAAAAACAGTTCCTACTGATGTGTTCTGAGAAGAAAACATACTACTGTGTATTTGTATGTGTTTGTATCATGTAGGGATAACTGCCATGAAGTAAACTGGGCAGGGTAAGATAGGGGTCATGAAGACAGAGGGGGACTGGCTGCTGTTTTATATATGATCATCATGGAAGGCTTCTTCTCCTAAGATGACTTTTGAAAAAAGACTTCAAAGATGTAAGGGAGTAACCCACATGGCCATCTGGAGGAAAACTGTTCCAGACAAAGAAAAAAGCACAACTGCTCAGAAGGGGAAGTGTATCTGGATGTGGGATATATATGTTACAGGTAATGACAGGAAAATTTGCTGATAGCTTGCATGGAGCGTGATCCCAGCGTTTTCAGTGTGGATAACAGGAAAAATGAAGTTGCCATTTATTATGACAGGGAAGAGCAGAGGAGGAAGTGGTACTTAAGAAAAAACTTAGTATCCAAATGGAGAAACTGAACAGGGACTCACTATGATAGGTTAGAATTCACCAGTAAATCTGGATGCCAACGACAATGCTACTTTCAGTCACTGAAAGAGTAAGTAAGAGTAAAGAAGCCTAAGTACTAAACTGAAGGGAAGAGCAGCAAGAATAAGGAGAATGCAAAAAGGAGACTGGAGGGCTGAGTGAACCCAGGTCTATACGCTCAGAGATCAAAGTATTTCAGGAAGGGTAAAGTCAGCAGCTGTGTCTGCTGATACAATGAAAAAGACACTGGCCAAGAACTAACCACACACACACACACACACACACACACAAAACTAACCACAAAGAAAATGGCTTGGCAAGAGCCATTTGAGTGAAGTCACAGAGGCCAAAACCCGACTGGAATAGGTCCAAGAGAAAAGGGAAGTAAAGAAGTAGAGGGACAAAGCATATGTACTTTTTCCAGAAGTTTTGCTGTGAATGGGGAAAAGAGAAACTGGCTGACTGTTGGTGGGAGAATAGAATCAAGGGAGGTTTGCTTTAGTTTTGGACAGACTACATATGTTTGTAGACTGATGGACATACACTTAATTGGAAAGAGGAGAGAAAATAAGAAGAAGTGGGCAAATGCAGGAATGATGCCCTTGGATAGACCAAAAGAGATGAGTTGCAGTAGATAAGAGGAGGAATTGACTTTAGACATGTACATAAAAATTTCATCCATTCTAACAAAGTGGATGTACTACCAAGTATATGTGTAGAAATTAGTTGTAGATCTGATGTAGGGAGTACATGGAATTTCTCTCAGTGACACAGCGAATTATATAAATTACCAAATAACTTTCAGTTAGTTCAGTTCAGTCACTCAGTCGTGTCCAACTCTTTGAGACCCCATGGACTGCAGCACATCAGGCTTCCCTCTCTATCACCAACTCCTGGAGCTTGCTCAAACTCATTTCCATTGAGTCAGTGATACCATCCAACCATCTCATCCTCTGTCATCCCCTCCTCCTCCTGCCTTCAATCTTTCCCAGCATCAAGGTCTTTTCAAATGAAGTCAGTTCTTCACATCAGGTGGCCAAAGTATTGGTGCTTCAGCTTCAGCATCAGTACTTCCAATGAATATTCAGGACTGATTTCCTTTAGGATTGACTGATTGGATCTCCTTGCAGTCCAAGGGATTCTCAAGAGTCTTCTTCAACACCACAGTTCAAAAGCATCAATTCTTTGGCACTCAGCTTTCTTTATGGTCCAACTCTCACATCCATATATGACTACTGGAAAAATCACAGCTTTGACTAGACGGACCTTTGTTGGCAAAGTAATGCTCTGCGTTTTAATATGCTGTCTAGGTTGGTCATAACTTTCCTTCCAAGGAGCAAGTGTCTTTTAATTTCATGGTTGCAGTCACCATCTGTAGTGATTTTGGAGCCCAAGAAAATAAAGTCTGTCACTGTTTCCATTGTTTTCCCATCTATTTGCCTGGATCTTAGTTTTTTGAATGCTGAATTTTAAGTCAGACTTTTCACTCCTCAGCTTCTTTTATATAGATTATAAGAGTGCAAATTTGGTTTATTGTTTCAGAATCAATCATGCCAGAGATACTAACGTTTGTTACCATGTCCTCTATTTATAAAGAATTTTATTCAATTGGCAGTTAAGATTTCACAATTCAAGTATCATCAGTCTTTTACTGCCAGTTCCTCCTAGAAAATTCTCCATACCAAGTAGGATAGTATTCACTAACAAATAAATTGTAATGCTCAATATTATTGTGTCTTCTTTTTAAGTATATACATATTCTACAGTTATTGTCAGCATAGTAGTAACACTTTTAGCAATATAAAATAAAGCATTATTATGCAGCCATGAAGTTTGTCATTTTATACTTCAAAAGAAATTACCATAGAGAGATAACAGATACATCAAGTTTTGCTTAAAAAAAAAAAAATCACAAAATATTCATCCAACTTCATGGTTGTTTCAAACCATCTCTCTTGCAGTGACAAATGTTTTATGAGGATATGAGTCTCCGTCCTTGACCCACAAGACAATGACGATGTAGCAAATATACCATAGCAGGCTCTAAGCATAAGCAGTGATGTTCTACAACTTGGAAAATTAAGGTTTAGTTATGATAATATCATGAACATTAATTCAATGCTCCCAGTGCCTTTTAAAGAAGGATTTGTTTGCTTACTTACAAGGCTGGTTGTATGTTTAAAAGTTCAAAAAAAAAAAAAAAAAAAAGAGGCTAGGGAAAGAAGTCATCACAGACCTAAATAGAAAAGGCAAATTTTGAATTAAAATTCCAAGCAGAAATACCAGTCTGAGCAAATAGTACTGTTAGCAGTTTGAAATATTAAAGGCATGAAAGATACATATACATTACATTCTTTTAAAAATGTATAAACAAACATATACCATCTGTGATATGAATAAATACTTGGAGACTTAGTCTTTGCTAACATTAACCAAAATCAAAAGTGAATACGAGTATCTTTGGGCTGAATTTTAAAAACAATAACAGCAACAACAACAAATGATCAACAATGAGGCAGGAACTGCTAGCGGGAAATTTGTACTTCCATCTCCTGATACTACTAACTCTACTCTTCTTGCTTTTAAAGAGTCTAGGCATGTCTCCGTAATGACAATTCCTACTGATGTAAAACAACAATAAACTATAGGTAAGCTCAGCCAGGAAAGAATCCACCAGCAATGCGGGAGGACCTGGGTTTGATTCATGGGTTGCAAAGATCCCCTGGAGGAGGGCATGGCAACCCACTCCAGTATTCTTGCCTGGAGAATCCCCATGGACAGAGGAGCCTGGCGGGCTACAAACATGCCATGGCGTCGCAAAGAGTCAGAGACGACTGAGCAACTAAAGAGCACAGCACAGACCTGAGGAAAGTCCATCTGGTTGTAACCTCCAGTCCTGCCTCTCTTCCAGTACATAGGTTCTTTTGTCCTGGAAGCTGGACTATTTTTACATGTAATTTGGTGGTACTTTATCTGCTTGCTATCACTCCCAACTTGCTCCTTTGTACAGGTGATCCTTGGGTATTTTTCCTCCTAGAACAGAGGCAGGAAATAGATGGGCTCCAGGCTGGGTATTTACAACTGGCCTCATGTTTACATTTCTTGGGGCTAAAAAGATGGGCTTCAGGCCAGACACTTACAACTAGGCTCCTGTTTGCATTTCCTGAGACAGGAGATAGGCTAGATATTTACAACCAGCCTCCTTCAGAAACAGAAATAACAACAGAAATTGGGTAAATAGCCTGACTTTGTCTCCTTGAGGACACTTTAAGACAACAGTCATGGCAGACACAAAGAGGGGCTAAATCCTGTTGAGAAAAGATCAAGAGATCGAGTATTATCTACCCTTGGGGCAAGGGAGACATTGCACATGTTCAGAAAGGCTTCTCAGGGGTCAAAAGGAGGGGGTACCAACCCATAATGTGTGATGCCACAGGTGACCCACTGGCCTCTGAGCTGGAAATCATTTTGGAAAAAGTTGTGCATGCGTACTGGAGAGGGTCCTAAAGAATTTCAGATGTGGAAAAAGAAACCAAGTAATTGGCCCGGAAGAACTCTCTATATAAATGATTTAACTTCCTCTTTAGGAAGTTAAATGTGCTCCTCCACATTAGGGAGGATGCCCACACCCTTTCTCTCAGGATGTGCATCTCTGCCTTACTTCAATTTTAACTAAACCATTTCTCTGCGTGCTCTCTCACTTGTTGTGCTGTGTCTCTAATAATAAACTTTGTACCTGTTTTAACAGTTTTGCCTCCATGAGAAAAGCATTTTTCAATAGGGGCCAGAGCAAGGGAAAACTTGC